CCTGCGCGTAGGCATGGCATTCCCCCCGTGGCCCCCGCACAGGCTGTGGCGGTGCTGCCTGACAGGGGTGGGCTGCAGGGCTCTCGCCACGGTGCTTCGCATGAACCCGAACTTCACAGAGCTGCACCTGGGGGACAACGAGCTGGGGAATGCAGGTGTGCGGCAGCTGTGCGAGAGCCTGCGGGATGCTGCCTGCCGGGTGCAGATACTGAGGTGAGGGGCTCCCCTGGGTGCTCCATAGGTGCAGTGAGCCACTGGGGCCAGGAGAATGCTCTTTGCAAGGACCAGCCACTACTCACCTGTGCTTCCCCTGACGGGTCTACCTCCGGCCGGTCACTGTTCCTCCCCAGGGCATGGGCATCCTTGGGTGGGCACCAAGAGCCTCTGAAAGCAAGGTGTTCGCAGCTTAAAAATAGAAGGAAATAATTTACTGGCTAGCATTTGGAAGAGATAGCTAGGATCTAATGCACTCCTAGGCTCACCACCCCAGTTGGGATGTGGCATCTACCAAAATTTTCAGGTGTATGTAGCTAGACGTTTTCCCCGTAAAGACCCCCCGATAATATTTCATGGCTCTGAGAAAAAATCACAGGGTATCCCAGTCAAAGGAAGGCCAAATTCTGCTCATGCCCATCTGGAGAGATGCTCCTTGTCCTGGGGAGATTATCTCCAGCCTGGAGCAAAGCTCTGGGGCAAGTTCCCCTGCAAGCTCCTTCCAGGCACATGGAGGATCAGAAGGTGACTGGGAACCTCCAGGTGCTGCCTCCTCGCTGGCCCAAGGGGGATGCGTAGGCAGCGAGAGTGAAGTTTCTGACTGCGAAGGACAGCACGTGCTAGCGCAGCTAGGAGACCCCCCCCCCCTTGCCATTCCCCAAATGTCTCTCTGGCAGCCTGTGGCAGTGCCGGCTCACTGAAGCTTGCTGCGCGGACCTCTTCACCGTGCTCACTGCCAGCCAGAGCCTGGTGCACCTGGACCTGAGCGAGAATGACCTGGGAGACAGCAGTGTGCAGCTGCTCTGCGAGGGGCTCAGACAACCCACCTGCCTCCTGCAGAAACTGTGGTAAGGGACATTCGGCTCTGAAGCTGGGAGACGGCTCCCTGCAGGGAAGGGGACAAACCAAGCACGACGTGGGCCTCCAGCCCCCACCCCGCCATGTCAGTGCTCCTGGGTGTTCCCAACCTGCCCCAGGAGGCAGCAAAGTGTTTTCTGCAAAGCTATTGCTGCTCTATTCACCCTTTTCTGCAGCCTTGGTACCAGGGGCCAAACACACCTTGGGTGCTGAGCAGTTCAATGGGGAGAGCATTGCACTGGCAGCTGGAGCTGGCACCGCCTCCTGCCAGCTAGCAGGCACCGGCCGTGTTATTCCCCTCTCAGATCCACCGGCTGCTCATTTCTGGAATTAGCATGATCATAGCTGCCTCCTTTCTAAAGTGCTCGGTAACGTTTCAGGAGAAACTGCTAAGGCAGGAAGATGGTTGGATGCGTCTTATCTGCCCTCATGGAGGCAGAGATGGTTATTTCCCACGATTGCACCCTTCTCGCCTCCAGTGTGGTGGGCAGAGGCAAGGCAGGGGATGGCTGTGCCGGCAGAGGGGAGGAGCAGGATGCCCAGCTCCAGCTGCCGGGGCAGGACCCTGCCGGGACTGGGCTCAGCAGCACCAGCGGGGTCAGGGCTGTATCGTGCCTTGGCTGAGCTGTGGTTACCCAGTGGAGAGGGCTGTGTGGATTAGCCTCCGCCTCAGTTTCCCCTGTGCTCTGTGCTTGCTGAAGCAGAAGAAGCTGGCTAAGACAGAAAGCACCAGAAAATAACGCTGGCTGCTTTTTTATCCTTTTCTGTTTCCGGCTGTGCATTGCTGTGGCCAACAGGCATCAGTGGGGGCAGATGTAACCATTCCTCTTTCCTTCTCCTCTCCAAAGGTTGAAGAAAACTGGATTAAGTAAAGAAATGCTGCAGAATCTGGCTGCTCTAAAAGAAATAAAGCCCAATCTAAATATAGGATACATTTGACGAGCAGGACTCCGTTCGACAAGGGGCTCTGGCACAGTGGCTCACTGACTGCACTTACACATGGGTTAAGAGGGGATCAGGAGCCTGGGAGATGTTTCCTCAACTTATTAGAGGTCCTTTTAATGCTGAAAGTACTTTTCAACATGTAGGGCCAGGGTCTGGCTGCACAGCCTCAGGGCTGACCCTCCTGAGGAGGGATTATCACTTGTTCATGCAGATGGTAACTCCTTCCAGGTCCTGTGCAGGTGGGAAGGGAACAGAGTGCTGAGGAAACTAGTGTAAGGGTGTAGGAAACTGGGATGAAGCAATGGATGAGCGTGTGCAACTTCCATTTCTGGACCCATACTGTTAGGAGTGCCCCAATGAACAAGCCTTGGATAAAGAGATTTTTCTTCACCTCCCATGGTTCATTCACTGTGACTTGTATAATTGATGAAGGTTTTCGTACTTCTGTCTGATTCCGTAACTCCCAGGAAGGTCTTCTCATGTCCTTTATGGATGTATACTTATTGTAGAGAATGACTATGTTGGTTATACTAATGTCAAATAAAGATCCTGTCCCAGGAATGTCTTCTCGCTGTGACATTTCCGTTCCTTCCTGCAGTCAGGGGCAATGCCCCAGGACACTCTGCCAGGGCCCAGTACAGGGCTGCCTGCAGGCAGCAGGGCTAGCAGCTCCCCCCTTCAGGCACTGGCAGGGGGAAGGCAGAAGAGATGGGACAACACTGGGGCTGCCTGCTCTCCCCCTGCAGAGCTGCTCTCCTCCACCCTGTCTCTCCTGGAAGGAGTCAGGCCAGGCTGCTAGAAGAAAACACTTTCTAGAGCCTGTTGCAGTCAGCCCAGCAGTGCTGCGGAGGACTTTGCTCTATGCCGAGGGCCAGTGGCACGGGCCTGCTGCCTAAACGGGGGCCCACATGGGGAACCAGCTCTCCCAGGGTCCCACTGCTGCCTGGCAGGGCTCTGCCAGCTTCTCAGCCCAGCCACATCTGCCAAAACTGCTTCACGGCTTTTGTCAATTGCCCTTCCCAGAGCGAGAACGCTCCGGCAGCAACTGTGGTTTTGGCAGGGGCCCTCCTGTGAACTTCCTGCTTACAGGCAGAAAGCTGTGGCTCTGGTTTGGCAGGTGCTGCTTGTGCTGGTGCGGTGGAGATGGTTGGGGCCTTTGTCAGCAGGCTGAAACAAAACCAAGTCATTCCCAGCCATGATCTTAACTCACAGCCCCTGTTCCCTCCAACCTCCTGCTCCCACTGCCAGCAAACCTCATTTGTGCAGCCAGGCACCTATAGCTCTCTCTCTCGCTAAAAGAGTGCTTGACCTTCATCTCCCTCGTCTTGTCAGGCACAGAAGTCATTGCCTCCTTGGCTACGTCTGAGGGGGCAACTCTAGCGTATGAGGGATGGAAGCTGGCTGGCAGGGAACAACCTGTGTCTCTGCTAGGGAGCTAGCTCAGACCCCTGCAAGGAGAGCTGTGTGCAAACCTGCCACCTGGGACCAGGCTCTGGCTCCTGAGCAGCACAGGGAGATTGTCTTGGAGAGGCCCATTGGCCCACCCGGGGCATGCCAGAACAGCACTTGAGGGATTGAGCAGGGTAGCCAGTCACGCTGCGGTTCTTGGATCTGGTCCCAGGGCTGGTTACCTCCGTAGCTCGAGCCTGAGATTGAAGTCTCGTCCTCATCGCTAGTGCTTATATCCTTTGCCATCAACTCATCAGCCTCTTTCATCCTTGCGTCATCTTGACGTTGTCTCACCATCGTCTTTGTGTCATCTCATCGACTCACCAGCATTGTCATCATCTTTGTGTCATCTCATCATCATCATCTCATCCTTGATTTAGCAGTATCCTCATCTTGTCATCATCTTTGCATTGTCTCATCGTCACCATCAACTCATCAGCATCTTCTTCTCACCACGGTCTTGTCATCAGCTCGTCATTGTGTGATCATCATCTCACTGTCATCCTTATCTTGTCATCATCTGATTGTCATCTAGTCATTCTCATTGTCTGATCATCATATCATCATCATCTCATTGTAGACTCACCAGCATCACTGACTCATCAACATTGTTGTCTTGCCAGCATCCCCTTTTTGTCACTGTCATTTTGTCATTATCCTCTTCATTGTCTTATCATCATCCTCGTCTTGGTGGTAGCATCTTCTTGTCGCGTTCATATCGTGATCATCATCGTCTCACCGTTCTCCTCATCGTCCTTGTCTCATCATTGACTCACCATCTGGTTTTGTCATCACCTGATGAACTCACTGTCTTATCATCATCGTCTCAGTGTTGTTTCTTTGTCGTCTGGTTCTCATCATCACCTCAACACCTTTGCATTGTCATCTTGTCCCATCGTTATCTTGACATCTTTGCAATGTCATCCTGTGCCAAAGTCACCTCACCTTGTCAACATCTCTTCGTCATCTTTTTGGCGTTGTCTCAATTTTTTCATGCTGTCTCATCATCTTTTTGACTTCATCTTATGAACATCTCCTTATCATCTGGTCTTTTTACTATTATCTCGTCTCATTTAGTGTTGTCTCATTTTCTCAAAGTCATCTCATCAACATCTTGTTATCTTGTTTTTAGTCATTTTCTAAAATTTAGTTTTTTGGGCATCCTATCATCATTTTTTCACTGTTGTCTCATCGACATCTTAAAATGATGAGACTCGTTTGTGACATTTTTGACGTTGTCGCCTTATCTTTTTGTCTCGTTATTCCTCTGGCATAGTCTAATCTGATCTTGTCTCGTTATTACATCATCATCTGGTCTGTTTGTTATTTCATTATCATCTTGTTTCATCTTTATCTCATTCTCAACTTCACTGATCTCCCACTGTCTTTGACTTGTCTCATCTATGTGGTCCTTGACCCATCTTGCTGTCACTGTTGACACAGCCTATTGTCATCTCAACACTGCCACCCTCTTGTCATCAATTCATTCCCTTGTTGTCTCATCACCACGTTGTCGTCAGCACTGTCTCTTCGTCATCCTCTCTTCATCAACTTATCATCATCAGCTTGTCATCATCTTTTTTTTTTTTTTTCATGTCACCCTCTGGTCTTGTCACCATCTGATCTCACCATCATTTTCTCACAATTTCATTGTCAAATCTCACCCCTCTCTTGGTATACGATCTTTTCTGGTGTCATCTTCCTAGTGTTAAATCATGAGTCTTTTCAGTGCTGTCTCATCACCTTTTTGACATCATCTTTCCAACATCGTGTCTTTATCTGGTCTTTTTGGCTTCATCTTGACATTTTTTTCAGCATTGTCTCATTAATTTCATCATCATCTGGTCTTTCTGGTACTGTTGCGTTGTCCTTTTGGCATTATGTCATCTGGTCTCATCATCATCCGATGTCCTCATCACCTCATCATCATTGTCTTGTCGTCATCTTGCTGTTTCATCTCATCGACTGCAACTCATACCGTTATTGATTCTTCATCATCACCATCTCCTCGTCATCGCATCACTCTCTTGTCGTGTCTCCATCTCAACGCATTGGTGCCTTGTCTCATGGCCTTGTTATTGTCTCGTCATCTCACCAATGTATCATTGTCTGGTCTTTGGGGCATCATCTCATGATTTCATCATCTTTTTGACTTTATCTCATCAACATCTCTTTAACGCTGCCTCATTGTCTTTTTCACGTTTTCTCATTGTCTTTATGGTATAGTGCCATCGTGTTTTTGACACCATCTCATTGCCTTATTGACATCATCTCATCAGCCTCTTGTCATCTGGTCTTTCAGGTGTTATGTTTCTAGCATCATCTGGTCAGCATCTCATTGACATCTGGTCTTTTCAGCATCTTCTCATCATCAGCATTATATCATCTAGTCTCTCTTTCATTTGATTGTCTCATCATTTTGTCATTGTCCAGTCTTTTTGTTGTTTCAGGATTATCCAGTCTTGTCTTTATCATCATCTTGTCGTGTCATATCATCGCTCTCTCGTTCTCATTTCTCTCTCACTGGTAAGGTCTCTCAGGCCTTTAGGCTTAGAGACAGGATTGAAGGAGAATAGGAACCAGCAGAAAAAGAGCACCGAGTCAAGTAGCTTTTGAGAAACACTGACCGACGCAAGTTCATGGGACAAGGCAGGATGCATCTGAGAGTGCTCTTATCTTTGCTTTGCACAGACACTCACAGGCATAGAATAATCAATTCATTGGTATCTTTTGCAAATAGTAATGCTCACATAGGGAATCAAATCTCTTTAATAGAATGATCAGTTGCTGTCCAGATAATGACAAGAATCTCTGCTGCAACTGCCCTTGAGACAATATCTTCAGTTGGATTGGGTAAGAGTCTTGTAACTGTTGTACCGTGAATTCTTAAAAACTAGCTAGGCTGTGGTCCTATGCAACCACATGCTTAATGCATGCTTGACACTGATAAGGCACCTGAAGGGCGCGCGCTGGCCAGCCAGCCAGGCAACAGTCAGCCTCCTAAGCTCCCTAGAAAGAGCCCTGAGCACATCCCACGTTGGTGTTTTCTCTCACAAATCCTTGAGCTTCTGATGAACCCATCTTAAGAAGCCTACTGCATCTGTAATTGTACCTTCCCCCTGAGGCTTGATCACAACTCAGTAATATTTCTCTGCTGAACAAAAGCTGTGCAGCGGGGCCTGATCCAGGCTATACCTTGGTTCCTTGCAACATAGGCAGCTTGAACCCCTTGGAGAAGGGTGAAGGTTGTAGGGAGGGTTACAGAGAGAGGGGTTTAGGCACAAGAGAGAGTCTGGACCAAAGAACAGCAGTTGCCACCAGGGTAGCGGCTGAAGAGGAACCACAGAGGGCACAGGATGGGGTAGAGGAGCCCCTGCAACAAGTGTGAAGGAAGAAGTCACTGAAGCACTTCCCCTCCTGCAAGTTAAGAGATGGTGCCCAGTCCTAGGCACTCACCTCCTCTTCCAGGAGCCAAAACAGCAGCCGGTGCGGGCCAGGCTGCCAGAGCCAGTATGAGTAGGAAGAGAGCCAGGAGCAGCATGAAGAGAGGGCCAGGCAGAGAGCAGAGCGGGACAGGGCTGGCAAGAGCTGCCAGCAGCCAGTGGGGAGCACACAGCTACCGAGCAGCCAGAGGAGTACAGAGCTGCTCACAGAGAAACCATGCCACTGGATCCACTCAGCATCACGAGGCTTTGCCCTCACGGAGACTGAAACAGCCCAGGAAAGAACACGGCCCAGTGCTGAGGGCAGCGCAGGGGGAAGCACTAGCTGGGCTACAATCCCTAGGGAAGAGGACGCCACCCCCTACCCCTCAGAGAAAGTAAATAACCACAGCTCTGTAGCTGCTTGCTTGGGGCAAGAGGGAGCCCAGAGCAACACACCATGTCACCTAATGTGAGACTTAGTGCAGAAAGACTATGCTCACGTACTTGCTAAGACAAAACACAGGGGAAAATGAAAAAAGAGGAAGGAAGGGTTATTAAAACAAATGTGGGATTTGGCTTTGACTCAGGGACTTTCCCTTTTCATCTAAACGCCTTCCTCATTGCTCCTGTCAGCAGGGTTTGGAGAGTGAGCTGAATTGCTCTTTGAACACCACTGACTGCATTGGCTAGCCCCCCAGGAGCTGTAAGGGTAGCTGACACACACAGTGCGCATACGCCTCTGTTCCTCTACGGCTCTGCAGGGCCCTGGGACCCGCTCCTGCCGCCCCAGTGTGCTTCAGCAGTCACCAGGCAACAGCTTCCCAGGGCCTCAGGTAGCTGCTGGATGCACTGCAGGAGCCAGGAGATGCCTACGGCCACCAAGCACGCTCCAGGGTGTGTATGTGCAAGCATGTGGGTGTGGGTGCCACTGGGCAGGTGATGTGAACACAGCCCTACAGAAGTCACTTCCTTGCTTACTCTTTCAAAGCCACAGCTTTTAAATAGATCTGCATCCGGCCCAAGCGAGGCTGCAGAACTTAGCCTAGGTTCTGTTTTTCCATTAGAAAAAACAAGCAGTGACAATACATTTAGCTTACATTTTTTCTAGCTGAAGGAAAAAGGGTTTCTGGTTCAGAGTAACAAGAGGTGCGAATGACCCATGGTTGGAAGCACAAATACTTGCATGTAAAAGCATCATTAGTGCATAAACCCTGCATAGAATGGATTATGAAAACATTACACGCACACGTTGATTTTAAGAATCAACGATTTCACAGCTTTCTAGGTTTAGATTCTGCAAATAACCTGACAGACTAAGTCAGGGGCAATACCGTGTCTTCAAATGTCTGTACCGTCACTTGCAGAAACCACAGCCATCGATCTCAAAGCACACCAACTACAGCTGTCCAGAAATAGCATAGCAGCACAGTGGTACGGAAAAAGAGAAAGATGAACGCTGATGAGGGAGCGTTTAGGGCAACAGGACTTTATTTAATATTTTTATTTTCATATAAAATAAAGGATTAAAATTTGAAATATGCTGTATGCTAGGAAAACAAACTGATATGCCATATAGAGAGAAGAGACACACTTAGCCTTTTCTCAGTTTTTGAAGATGCAAGACGTGCCACATGCAGGTTTTGTCCCAGGTGGGGAATGCCAAACTGCTGAGCTGGTGCGTTTGAAGTATCGAGGCTTGTTCTTGCCAAAAATATCCTCCAGTTTAGGGCTTGCAATTAACCCAAAGAGCTGGTCAACATTCACTGGGTGATAGTACTGGTGTAAAATAGCTTGATTAAGCTGAAACCCTATAAAAACAACCATATCAGGGAAGTAGACTCATAACTAAGCTCTCAGCGCTCTGCTTAAGGAACCCTTCCCCTTAGAACTCCCAGAACTGTTACCCTTCTCATTCCATGCCTGAAAAAACTTAAAACCTGTGTAGAAAGTGAGATTAATACAGTCTTCCTGCTCACTGCAAAGCTCTGCACACCTTCACACAGAACCCAGCCTGAAGATGGGGGTATCAACAGTGCTCATCGCTCATTTTTAAGTCAGTTCTTTGCACTAGAAGCATCCCAAATCCACTACCCCTTGGTTTCCTTCAGGAGAGTGGGCTACCTTATTGCAGTGAGCTTCTTTGGATCCAGACACGGGCACAGAGGACTTGGGTTTAACTTCAACACAACAGCGTGTGCAAGAAAACAACATGTGCAAGAAAACAGCGCCAGTCCCCCTCATCACTCAAAGTCAGCAGCTGCCAGCACTACTGAAGACTTGCACACTCCCAGGCTGCGCTTCAGGGAAGCTGAAATTGCACTGAGAGGATCTGGAAAGCTCCACCTTCCTAGAGGAGGAATTAAAGCAAGCAGAACCAAACTCTGCACCTACCATCAGCCCAGGCAGGGACAGGCTTCCGGGGTTCATTCTCATCATCTGTGGAGTCGTCACTGTTCAGATCCATCCCATAATTATTTTCACTTACTTTGGGGGACCTGGACCCCTTGGAGCCCTTTGGTGGCCCTAAGCAGGATGTGGAGATAGATTTCTGAAACCACAGAGAAAACATTCATTAGAGCCAAAAGCACTGCCTTGCAGTCCCTGACAGGAGGGGGCTGGGCTTGCCAGGGGGCTGCAGCCAGGCCTGCGCAGTCTGACCCTTTGTGGGTGCCTCAAGGCTCTGGCAATAGCAGACAAACAGACTGTCTCAAGACCCCAGTTTTCACAGAAGGAGGCTGTTAAGGTGTCTAAGCAATGCCTGCACAAGGAGGACGAATCACGAGTCAGAGGTAAGTTCCCAGAGCTATATGCTGCGCAATGAACTTTACCCTAGAGGGAAGGTGGCCTGAAACGAGCTGACAGTAGAATTTGAGCAGATGCATCACATTTGCACTCTTTTTCATCCCCGGCTCAAAAACAGAGCCAGAAGAGTCACACATTTGTGCATGGGAAGCCTTTGACCTACGCACTAACTGGAATATATGTAATATTCCTACTTGGCAGATAATTTGGGTTGAGGTTTCCAGTAAAACCCAGCTGTGCTCAAATCCCTCTTGGCCCTTTTGCCGATCCCTGCTTTGAAACCACAGCCTCCCTGAAAGCCAACAAGCAGTGCAGGACTGTGTACTGCAGCAGGGACTGCAAACAGCAAAACTGAAACAGCTCCTTGCCCACCACACAGCTTCCAAGCTGTAAGGAAAAGCCAGCCAGTACCCTGCCATGAAAAAGCCAGGACTCCATTTTACTTTAAAGCTGCAGGTCAGAAGAGCACAAGGCAAAGCTCGGAGGGACCTCCTGGATTTGTGGTGGGGAACAGGGACGACTAGATGACCTGACAGTCATCTGTAGTACAGACGGGCTTAGGGGTGCTGACCAGAGGACAGACCAGGAAGGCAACCCTAATTCTGCGGTGTTCTTAACATTCAGTCTAATACAGGAACAAGGGAATGCAGAGAAAGTCCACACACATTTGTATATAGGCAAAGAACTGTCATGGTGCTCGGCTGCTTTATCAGTCTTTTTAACCCCTTTCCCCTTCTCTGTTTCTTGAAGAAAAGCCTTAGATGCATCTCTAGGTACGCTGCTTTTTCATGCGTGGGTCCCCCACTCAAATTCTTCCACGTGTTTCATGACAGATCTGGTTTTCGTTCTCTAAAGCTCTGACTTAAGCCACAGAACGGAGAACTCCGGCAGGAAGAGGTGCCAGTCAGTCGCAGGGCAAGAGAGTCCAGGAAGGGGAGCGTGACAGAAGCAGTACTCAGGGCTGTTTGGTTCTTGGAGCAGCTTTTTCCCCCCCACCCTTCCAGTTTTCATGCCCGAGTGGCTCCAATTCAAGCCTCCTTCTGAGGAGGCAAGCAGCTCAAGAGCCAGATTTAACAGGGAGGCCTGAATCAGCGTTGCTACCGTGCCACTACCGGTGCTGCAGGCTAACCTGGGCGCCTCATGATGTGCTGCCATCATGTGGTGATTTCCTAACATCTTTTCAAAGACGAAGCATTTTGCTTTTCCTTCAGGTTCCCCTGTACCGAGCACTCAGCCAAGCGCCCAAAAAGGACTTCCCCAGCCTCACTCTGCAAAGGCTCCTGCTGCAATCCTCTAGTGTAGGCTGCTGGGGTTTATCTCCTGCTCCTCTCCTCCATCACTGCCTATTAACAAATCCGCAGGCTGACGCCAACGCACAGAAGCCAGTTAGGCACCACAGACCTGTTTTATTCGAGGGTTCTGCTGGAATCCAGCCTCACCTTTACAGTTTTGCTCAGCCATGTGCTGGAAGCAGCAGTCATCAGTTCTGGTTGCTTGCTTTTTTTCTCCTCTCCCATATGCAGCTGAGGCTCCTGCAGACTGTCTTCCTCCTGTTAAGATATAAGAACCAAGACATTCCTCATTCATGTTCACTCAAGGAAAACAACCAGACTACCTCTGGAATTGAGCCATATTTTCTGGGGCTCCTTGCCTCCCATGCCTGTCACTCTCCTCTTTCACAGAAAGATCTTAGAGGATTTTGTTTAATAACATCAAAAAAATCTTGTTACAGACCAAGAGTCACACAGATAAAGGGACTCCTGTCTTTGCTCAGATTCTATCAGCAAACTTTCCAGAACCCACACTCACCTTTACCACTTTGAGCCGTGTATTAGAAGCCGTGGCAATGAATTCTGGTTGCTTGCCTCTCGTCTCCTGCCCAGGCAGCTGGTGCAGGTCTTTTGGGCTCTCTTCCTCCTATTAAAGAGCACCAAAGTTTTTCACTGCATAAATTCCTTATTCAGCAAACCACTTTATCCAGGAATTTTCTTCTTCCACTCTCCTCTCCTCAGGAGGGAAAGGCAGGGCATAGCTAACAGGAGAGCCAGAGCTGCAGTTGCTCTGAATAACATTCAGCTTCTCTTATCTGGAAGAGCTTTGTCACGTCTCACTCCAACCCAGTTGCTGGCAGCACATGAGGAATTCAGACCTTCATTAAAATTATATAGGAAGAAATAGGTGTTCGAAAGTCATCGGCCTAGTGAATAAGAGTGCTGAGAATACAGAAGGAAGAATTTATACTTAACATGGATAGCGTTTGGGGGGTTGATTTTTTACTGAGAAAGAAGAAAGGCAAAAAAAAAAGAGGTTGTGTTAATTTGTTAGGAGCAGAAAGAACATGTACTGTGATATTTTGAGACAAGCAGCTTTGACTAAGGCATAACGTTCTTTCCTAACCTTGTGCGCAAAGTGCAAATGAGGTTATGTGAGCCATGATACCTGAAGTTTTGTTATGGGGATCACACGATCCCTATACAGTAAACAGATGTGGAAATTAGTAAAAGATGTTTTTAAAGCACCAGTGAATGTTTTTTGGAGCTGTTCCTCAAAGTGCCATTGTATGGCTGTCATTCATCTTGTTTCTGCAATACTAAGGCTACAAGGCTGAGAAAGCTCACTCGTTAACAAAAACCAATTAACTCTGATCTTAGCAATAGCGTTAACTCATTCTTGCACAAAATCCAACTCCTTACAATAACATCATGTTTGGCTGGTTGTTGGATTACATTACATTCATTCCTCTAAACAATTTAACAGTTAATTTTAAAACCTTAAACAGTAAGATAGGGCTTGGAGAACAAGCCCGAAGGGGGGGAAAAAAAAAACCCAAGTATTCTAGTCCTCACTGGCCTCCAAGAGAGGAGTCATTGCAAGACCACTTCAACTCCCCACCTTTATGTTTTCTCCAGTAAACACTGCCAACTCCAGCTGTGGTGGGGGGGCCTTCTCCTTCCCTCGTTGTTTGTAATCCCTGGGGAACAAAACTTTAGTTTAGTCAAGAGGAAAGTACCCACCATCCCCTGCACTCTCAGCTTCTTACTTCAGCACCCCAAACCTTTGGTAAAGCCAAACACTCACACCAGTCTCCCAGTTTCAGCAGTACTATTATCTCCTGCTTTGCCCTGCCTGTTGCCAAGTCCCCCTGCCCCCAGGGCAGGGTCAGGCTAAGTCATACCTCTCCTTCACTTGTTCCACCTGGCGCTGCTCTACGAGATTCTTTAGCTCCAAGACTTTCTTCCCCTTTTCTTTCACTTCATCCTCTCTCCTTTTCTGCAGGAGTTCCTGCTGCTCAAATTCATCTTCCTCCTGAAAAAGGAAACCCTTGTAACCCTCCAACTCAAGCGGGGAAAGATGGGAAGATTTGAGGCAAGCGATTTGAGACAGCCTGTACTTGTTTTATCTCAACCTTACCTTTCACGGCTGCCCACCAGTTGGGCAGCCTTCCCTTTCTGCCCCCATAGTTACCCTTGTACGTGACCCCATCATCCAACTTGCTAGACAGAGATCTTGCATCACTGATGTTCTCATTCCCCCAAATCCCTGCAACTCCTGGCAGCAGTCTGTCTTCCTCCCACAAAGCAGAACAGTGCAGGTTCCCCGCTACTCCTTTTTTTTTTTCCTGCATGCAGGAGGGACCCAGTGTTGCTCTTACCATCCTCAGCGCCTTCTGTTTCCGTGCATCAGCTTCTCCAGCCTTCTTCGATAGCTTCTTCTTGCTCCTTTCCTCTACCGCTTTCTCTTCCCGCACTTGTGAGAGACGCACCTGAGAAAGCCACACAGCTCTGCTCCATGGCCTTTTCCACAAGGGGGAACTGGGAGACCTTCTAAAGTTTGAGGCCTGTGCTCTTAATCAGGTCTTAGTCAGACCGAGAACCCAACACCCAAAGTGCATACGGGCATTGGATTTAGCACCAGCCTCGTGCAGCAAGTCCACCACTTACTACGGGTCACGTGAAGAGGTGCCCATCACCTGGAGTGACTGGAGAAAAAGAGCACAGACAATTACCCAGCCCCAAAATACATGCTCCAACTTTTAAGTGATTCTCTGCAGAACAGGGGGACCTAGCAAAACCGTCGTTTCCATTTTGCCTGCAGCGCTGCTCTCTACTGACTGAGCTGAACTGCACTATGAATGGAGAACATGAAGGCTGGCTGAGTCACAGAGACAAGTTTCCTTTACCTGAGCTGTCTGTCCCAGTAAAAGCGTTAGCATGTGCACAGCAGTAGATTAGCCAGGGCTGTGTGTACTTTTGACTGCTCAGGTTTTGGGAAAGGCTGAAAGGAGCACTGGGTCCTTCGTTTTCTAAAGCTGACCCTTCCAAAGATCACTTTAGCCCCTTCCCAAAACGAGCAAAAGCTCTAGAGCCCATCAATTCTAATCCTTTTGAAAGGGAAGGGGTTGTTCACAAGCGGACACCATCCTTCGCCCGAGGGCTCGTTCCCTCTGCCCTGAGCCAACATCAGTGTTTCAAGCTGCTGCTGGGACTCCAGGTCAGTCACAGCCTCCCTCAATCCTGCAGAAGCTGCACTGGTGTACAAAAGCAGCAGCAGACATCGTCCACGTGCAGCCGGCCACGTCTGATCCTAGCACGCTCTACATCTTCCACCTGCCCTCAAAACAGAGGGAGGCAAGGCTTTAAAAGGAAGCACAATCCAAATACGCACAGAGCCACCAACATGTCTAACAGTCAGGAGCTTCCCTTAGTTGCCTGGTAGCTATTCTTTCCTGCCACACTTCTGCAACCCCCTACAAGCACTGCGGCCTTGCTGCGTGGCTATCGCTTCGTGCGACTGACTCACTTGCTCTAAGTGTGTTGCGGCTGAATAATGCCGTCTCACCTGCAGTGCCGGTTCACAAGACACACAGACAAGAGATGCTGCCACATTCCTTGAATGCGGAGCACCATCAACACTGCAGGTCAGAACAGGAATATTTAGAGCCACTGCAGAGGTTTGAGAACACATAGCCTCCTCTTACCAAGCAGAGGATCTCAAGAGTCTTGTTTTAGAGGCAGGCTTACCCACCACCTGATTAGTCACCGTCAGCAGCAACCCTGTGCTTGCACTTATTACACCTGTGACAAACTAGTGGCCCGTTTGCACCCTCTCAGTCTCACTGCTCACCAGGAGCAGACATCATTGTCCCGATTGGTCTGAAGCTTGCTCAGGCTTACCTTTTCATCATTCTGCAAGATCTTCTGTTCCATCCGCTTTTTCTTTTCTTCTTCTATTTGTTCCACCCGCCCCCGAGCCTGCAGCGCCTTCCTTAGGCGCTCTTCCCTCTTCCTGGGCAGCACATGTGCAAGAGGGGCTTCTTAGCTTTGTCTGCTCTGGCATAGAGGATGATGCAAGGCACAAGGACTTGCCATGGTAACTGGGGCTCGTGGCTCATTTTCTAGCATGGGAGCTTTCCAGTAGCATGCGGCAACCATCATTTTGCTCGACTTGCTTTGACTGAGCCTAGCCTAAGCTCACACCCGGACTACGTTCAGCAGACATCAGTAGGTGCTTTGCACCGATGCCGTTCTTTCTGCGGCTAGCCGTGAGCAGTGGTGCCCAGGGAGCATCACTTGCAGAACGGTCCTTCCAAGTGGGAGGCAAAGAGGACAATACAAGAGTGCTGTCTGCCTGGCAGGAAAGGCCTCCAAAACAATTCTGTGCTAAACCATGGAAGGAGCAGGAGGTAAGAGACCCAACTCACTGTTTCATTTCTGCCTGCCGCCGTCTCTTTTCCTCCTCCACTTTCTTTTTCCTCTGTTCCTCAGCCTCCTGCTTCTTCCTGAGGCTTTCTAGTCTCTGCCGCTCCTTCTCCTGGAGGGAGATGAGTTCATACTATACCAATTGCTGGGGCCTGTTTCTACTCTCAGGCTGCTTGTGCACAGGCAGCTAGAGGCTAGGCAGCCTGCTAAACAAAGAAGTCACTGTCAGAGCTATAGTCACCCACTCACTGGAACGGGAGGTGAATATTAGGGAAGAGAGAGTGCAGGTCTGGCAACAATGCTTATTCAACTACAGCAGAAGAGTCATCTGGTTTGGGAGGGAAACATCTTAGCCCTTCAGCGTAACCTACTGTGGAGGATCTGTTCAGGCAAGGAAATCAGCCAGCACACCGCTGCAGTAGATGATCTGTAGCAAACATTTCCTGTCTGGGACAGTGGTACCTATACCAGCAGTGGGGAGAATACGAAGAGAAGGTGCCCAGCGCAAGTAGTCTTGGGCCTAAAGGCCAAAAGGTTTCTTAGCAGTTCCCAGTGCCAGAACACCTGCAAAGAGATCCTGCCACCTCACCACCGGCCTGGCCAGTTTACATTCTTGGGGAGAGAACAGAAGGGCTCCAGGGATGCCCGTGCAAGGGGAAAGAGATACCAGTGCCTGTGATGCAAGAAGTACAGCCCTTACAATTTTCCAGCCCCTGTGGTTAAGGGTATCAGTACTTACGACAAAGTCTCCCTGTGGAGAGAGGGAGAAAGAGAGAGAGAGAGAAGGAGACAGAGAAGGGGAAAAAAAGAAGGGGAAAAAAAGACATGCAATAGCGATTAAGGCTTTGGAAACAATACTAGCACCCCCCTTCACAGGGCACCAAGCCTGTTCGCAGCAGCAGTTCCTGACCAGCATGTGGACAGGAAACCCACTACCAGACACCACACTGCCTGTATCCCAGCCCAGCAGCAGCCAAGTACGCTGCACAAAAGAGCAGATGCCCACTGCACAGAGAAGAGCTTTCCATTTCCTCAGGATTCAATAGTCCCACAACACAAGATGTTTCTGCTGACCATAGACAGCAGAAATCTCAGCAGACCAGCTGAGATTTCTCTGCATCTGACAACGGTTTGAGGATTGGTGCTAAAAAATAAGTCAGTGACAGTGTTTGTGGACAACAGCCTCCCTCCCTGGGGAGGCTGAAGTAGGACGTGTGAGGCCAATTTGTTATTAGGAGTTGCACTGATCCATGATAGCAGACAGAACCCACAATGTGTTTATGTGTTTCTAAGCAAACAGTCCCTCCTGCCACTCCCCAAAACTTGACACCTGCCCCCCCCTTTCCAGCTCTGCAAGGCAAGGTGGGACTCTGACACACCTTAAGATCAGGTCGGGTGGGAGTGTTGCGTTTGATGAAATTCCTTATGATGCCCCCACGTCCTGTGGACCCCGGGCTCGCGAGTAGCTGGTTTCTCTGAACAGCTTGCAAAAAGTTTTTCAACGGACGAACAACCTAAGAGGAAAGGACAGAGGCAAGTCAGTAACCGCCAGGGAAAGGCTGGCAAAGGAGGACTACGGCACCCACTCACCTTGCTAGCTGGAGAGGCAGAAGATGCAGTCTGGTTTGCAGAATTCAGACACTTGTCATCCAAAGGGGAAAGGGCACGACCCCCTTGCTGCTGCCCGTCCCACATAACACCCATTGCTTGCTTATAGCTTCTCGTCCTGATGGCATTAGGAAGAGGCACGTTAGGTGGCCATCACCAGCCTAAGCAAACGCATTCCCCAGCCTTGCCAAAAGCATTTACTTCCACGGTTCGCTCCGCCTGGTTGTTGCCACCAGAGGACCTGAGCCTCCTACAGACTCACCAGCCCAGTCTGTGGCGAACCATCCACTCAGAACAGAGGACAGGAAAGGCACGTGACAGCTTGGCAGAGGAACAGCCAACTTCCAGAGCAGTAATACACCACATCACACCCACACTCCCACTCCCCACTCTGATTCCCAGCAAGCAAGAGATCTTTGTTACATCCGGTATTAACGAGAAGGACATAAACCACCTAGGCTAGACAGCCTAGCACACCTCACTGACAGGGTTTCATTTGCCTTATAGATGCTTCAGACACGCAGGTTTACCCGTGTCAGAACCATCTCCGCTTGCATCCTGACTCCAGGGAAAAAACAGGGGACACTGCTTCATGGCACAGCCTGCGCTCAATGCAGCTGCACTTCGGAGGAAGGCTGCCCAGCTTGACCATCGCACAGTGCGGAGCATCCACAGGAGAACAGAGGTTACTGCTACTCCCCTTCCTACCCACTGCCTGCAGCAAATTCACCCTGGCAAAACCCAAAGGGACAGGAGATTGAGGACAAAGCTAAAGGTAGCAGAAATCTCACACAAAACACTAATAACACAGGCAGTGAGGAAGTCAGGTATTCCAGACACTTGCACCACACAAAAATAAACAGATGAGTCATCTACTGGTGTTGCCTTCCAAAACCACTCCCAAGCCACCCCTTTAAGTACCACCCAGAGAATCACATTTAAGCTGCGAGTTAACAGCGCTTTCCTAGCCAACTTTGCTGTTTTGTACATAACCTGAAGCGTCTGCTCTCCAAGCCAGGATCCGAGTCTAGCCCTAAACAAGGCTCAAGAAGCCATAAGGAAAGCCCAAAACACTAAGATTTGACCAAAGCAGATTTCAAAATTACATTGAGGGGGTGGGAGGAGGAGAGACAGGCAAAGCTTTCAACCAAGTCACTTAAAAGGCCAGGTTAAGTCCTTCCAGACCACCCCAGCTCATTCCTCCTCCCTGCAAATGCCTCCTACCAGATGCGTGAGGGTTTCTCCTGGAACTCAGCACTGTGGGGTTGCTCCTGGTTCTCCTTTTGGGATTCGCTATTTGTATTTACATAGCCTTCTGTGGGGGAGGGGGGGGGGAAACCAAAAACTGTAGTTAGCACCATATACAAGGCATCCTGCAGCAAAGGTCTGACTCTTATCTCCAGCTCTCGCGTGCCGAGCCCCACAGAACGAAACTGTACTGAGAAAGGAGAAACTCTGACGACACGACTGCCTTATATGCTAGTGCTGTATATGTACCTTGCACGCATCCTTCTGAATAGGCACAACTTATCTCACCAAAAAAGACTCTTGCTACTTTCTTCTACTCCAGCTACAGCTTCTTAAGGGATTATGCAATTTCCATAGGAAATAAACAAAAAGCTTAAAGATCTCTCTCTCTTTGCTTTGAGAGGCATCAAATAAAGAGGACCTGTAATCCCTTACACTATGTAAGCTCAAGGAGGGAGAGGGATGTCAAGGTGCTGTAACACAACATTCCGCTACCTGGAAGACTTCAGGCCTACCAGTAATCTCCTTCAAAAATGTCCCTACTCATTCATTACGCTCAGCGATGTCTGACTAGAAAACATCTGTTTCAAGGCTTGGACGTATTTACAAGAGGTCCTTGCTTGATCCAATAGCATAGATGTTGTGCTCTCTGGAGATCAAGTGTCTCTGAATAATAACCTTGATTGATCAGAGGTAGTTTTGTTTCCACGCAAGTCCCAGCTTTTCCACAAACTCTCATATTGACCCTGTGGCTTGTATGTATGTGGCTTCACGAAAAGGCAAGCAAGACCAGATCAACGTTACCTTCATTATTCCCTCTTTGCTGCTCAGGGGGAGGGAAGTGCTGTGCAGGAGGGCTGGCAGCTTGCATACTCTTGCTTGAAGCAAGGAAGTTTTCAGGAATCTGTAGGAGAAGGAAAGAGGCATTCTTTTAGCATGGTTCCTCCAAAGGAACAAGGCTACCATGAACCTTGCTGCCCTGGAAAAGCCAGCCACGTCTGACCATACTCCTGCTGCTAGGCCAGGGATCGCTCCTCTGTCAGAGCTGTGCTGCATATATGTCAACTGGCTGACTCATTTCAGTGACAAGGATCTGCTCATAAAACACCAGCCTCTGCAGGAAAGACGACATTTGCTCAGCACTTCTCTCACAGAGCAGGATACTTCACTTTGCTCAACCTGGACTCTGAAGTCGATGCACTTCAAGGGTGACAGGCAGCTTCTACGCACCTTGGAGAGAGTGATTTTCAAACTACAGATACCTGAGTCTTAAAAGAAAGATAAGTCTGTTCAAAGTGTCTCAGGTTATGACACCATTAGGAACTTTAGATACCCCTAAGGTACGTTCACAGCAGTACAAAGAACAAGGTCACCGCAGCACAGCATCCTACTGTGTTACCAGGCTGCCTGCGTGTGCATACAGTTCACGCCTTCCCCTACTCGCTAAGCGGACATCAGCTACTGCTGCCCGTTCCCCCTGCCCTGGACACTTCTGAACTGCACCAGGGAGCTCATCTCAGACAGAGCCAGCCTCTCTGCTGGGTTAACTCTCACCTAAGCTGGATCAAGACATTTCTGCCAGCTCAAAGGAAGGGATGGGTTCCTTTGTCTTGGTAGCACTACTGGCTTACGCTAGCTTCATGTGCACGTAGCCTCACTGGCCAAGCAAAGCACCTTAACTTGAACTGTCCTCCTGATTTTTGTAGCTCAAACCAGCCACGCAGCAAAGACAAGCTAAGAACACACACACAATCAATCACCATGCCCAGCTGACAGGCAAAAGCACACTAAAACCTAGGAACCTGGCCAAGCTCCTCCAAACAGTCCATCTTTAAGAGGCCTTACCAAGGTACAAAAGGTCTCTGACCACCAGGAGCCAGTGAGCTAACCGGCTGAACTAGCTGTCCAAACGATAGAGGAGCCGCGCTGTCCAACTCAGCAGCGCCTTCATTTAAGGTGAAGAGATGTGACAGAATAATCCTTCAGCCACGTTTTCCGCTTCCATGGCAAAGCGTCCAACTGCTCAGCAAAAGGTGTTAACTCAGGAGCTGGCAGGCAAGATTACGTACGGGCAGCCAGCAGGTGAGCTGCTTGGGAGCACAAGACAGACTTACCTTTTCACTTTGGGGGTTCAGTTCCAGTTCAGGTCTGTAAAAAGAAGGGCCGTTTTAATTATTTCAATTGCCTCTGAAATAGACAAAAACACTACTTTGCCCTTGGGGCCTCTCTAAGATGACAACAATCAGAAGAGTGAGTTACAAGTAAAAGTACAACGGCGCTAACACACTGGAGCCAAGGAAATACAGGCAAGTGCAAGTATTTCCAAGGAGAGGCACAAGCCTGTTTCAGCGAGGCCAAACACGGGCGGCGCAATAAATTCTGATGGACCATTGCTTTGCATGGCTGAGCAACGCACTAGTGAGGTTTGTCCCCTTCTGCAGGGCTTTCATATAGTAGGCAAAAAGGATGCTCCATGAGCCTCAGTTTCATCTGTCCCTTCAAGTCATATCACAGGCTAATTTCCAGTGCCACAGGGCATCCAGAGGCCGGTAACCGCCAGTAATCCCACAAAAGAATTCACATGGCTTCAGCCAACACCAGGCAGAGGCATTTCTATCAGCCTCCCAGGCCTTCTGGCATAGGGCTGGACTCTGCAGCGATCAACCTCACTGTACTCCAAACGTTCTTCTGACAAGGAAGGGCTGCGCCTAACACAAACTTTGAATATCGACCAGCCCCAAGTGACACCATCACCCAAAACAGTCAATTAAAATAAAAAATCTCAGATCTGTAACATAGCAGTGACCCATATGGGTTCCCTGACAGGTTTGCTGTGGCTTCTTCCTGCCTGCTTTACAGGGTGACCTCACCTCATGCTGCTGCTCATATCATCTTCCACAAATACCTCCGCGGAGCTTTGACCTGAGGGAGAAAAGCACACGCAACATTAACTAACTTGGGAATTTCACTCTGAGGCTTCCCAACAGCAGCCACTCGCGTGTGGTAGAGCTCAGAGCCCAGGTCTCTGGGCAGGCTCCTTCCAGGGAACATAATGATTGCGCATCTCAGCTTTCCACACCAGCTCTGCCACCCTCCTTCAGGTGTCACTGTCAAACTGCTGTAGGCTGGGAAGGCACAGAACTGAAAGAGCACCTCCTCTGTCTGCAGACTGCTCCAGCTACACAAACATGCTCGTGCCTGTGTCACACAGACATCATTTCAAAGTCAACTGACTTCTGCTTCTGCCTCCCTACACAGTCTTATGCAGAGGTTTGGTGGATTTTGGCTGATTTCACCCTCCCCCCCCGCCCATAACACCACTTAGCTGAAACTGTTATAACAAATGCCCACATGCAGCGTGACTCAAAGCTGACAAAACTAAATACCAAAGGCATTAGTGCCTTATTAGAAGCTAGTCTGTCTTCAGAAGCAATGATTTCGAAAAGTCCGAACAGCAAAACCTCCCAAGGAGCAGCGAGGGCACGGAATATTGGCTATTCAGTGCTACCAAGAATAGCCTGAATCTCCAAATTTTGTTTCCTCAGATGATTGTGCTGTTTGGTTCTCAGTCCCATTACTCTATCTTCACCCAAAAAGACATTTAAGCTCCTTTGCCAATTTCAGCCAAATCTCGTAGAGTGGAGACATTCAGTCTCTGCAGTGATTTTTTTTAAGAGTTGGCAGAAGGCACTTGGATTAAAGCCCCTCCCAAGGGAATGCAATAGCCTGCTCAGATCAACCTGTTAAGTGGCCAAACTGCACACATAGCTAGAACAAGTCAGATCGCATTTTCCTTTTCCCCTCTCACTTTTTCGGCCATCTGCAGACTATGGGAAGCAGCCTCCAGTCCCCATGCCCCTGCAGGTGGGCCCCTCACTCACTACAGCAAAGCAGACAAAGCACAGCCCGAGACTTGGTCTGACAGCAAGTGAGGGCCTCAAGATCACACCCTAAACAAGTGGAAGCCATGAGGCCTATTGCTGAGGAGACCAGGAGCCAGAGATGTTAATACAGATGAGCAGCTCCACAGCTGCCTGCTCCCCACATCAAAGCTGAAAAGCTGATTTGGCCAAACCAGCATACTCAACAGTGGAAAGGAACTTACAGCTCACTCTGCTGGAGGCAGAGGATGATTCTCGAGCTGCTGCCTTCTTTGAAATGGCCCTGCTGATAGATCTCCGGATCATGCTCTCTCTTTTGCTGGCCAGTGAATATTTTTCTGCCAAGGAGGACCTACAGCCTTTGTGGGGGCCACCCACAAAGCTTCGGCGCCCAGAGCAACGGCGTGTTTTGGCTCTCATAGCGGTCATTTTGTTGTCAGAGTCCCGGAAAAGCACGTTTTCTAGGCCTTGAGGAGACCACTTTCCTTGGTCTGTGGCAGGATCTCCATTTCTAGCAGCCTTGGGAGTGGAGGTACTTGCTCCTCTTCCGGGGGTCTCTTCCCCCTCCCTTGCTGTCTGGCCACCAGGGACCACAGTGACAGATGACACATCAGGCAGCTCAGTAACTCCAGCCCCCGTGGGCAATCGCTCTCCTGCGACAGCCTTACCGGCCCCACGTCCTATATTGGCCCTGTCTCCCTTCCCTAACTCGACCTGAGGGAAGTCGCTACAATCCATTTTTGCCACTGGAACTTGCGCTTCTGCTGGCCATTTCCCAGTCAGCGCCACTGGCAGTGCTGGAAGCTCTGTTTTAACCCTGGCCTGAGACCCTACTGCAGGGTCGGGTGTGGACACCTCTTCCCCCAGACTGCTGGGGTTCGGGGGTTGCTCTTTGCTGTGGCGTTTCTGGCAACCTGGCTTGGAAGACACTAGCTTGACGCTGCTTCTCCTTCTGGACAACCTTAGATAAAAACAATAACGTTATCAAGTGATGCAGAAATCTCCCACTCCCAAATGATTTTGGAGCAAAGAGGAGACAAATTTCAAAATGAGCCGACTGGCTTCCTCCCTCTGCCCCCTCCTCCCCCCCTTTTATCACAGTTCAATCAACCATGTGAGCTCCCAGATGTGCTCTGGCAGGTTTAGCTGCAACAATTCAGAAGTTACTGCTCCCCACAGCCTGCAAGATGTTTTTACTTGATGTTACCGTTCTGTGCCATAGGACATATATAGTCTTACTGCAACCATGCCCGCTTTCAGCCTGGCATGCTGGATTTACTCACAAATAAAGGTTGTATCACATGGACGTAAACTGCAGCGGTTGAGGTACCGGGACGCTCACTGCTCTGTGCACAGAGTAACCCTCAGCCCCAGCTGGGGCTGACATTAGGGGACAGTATGTTCAGACAGGTACAACTTAACCCATCCTGTTTGCCCTGAACAAAATACACACAGCACAACCAGACAGGAAGGAATTTTGGGCTGAAGATTCGCAGGAACGTTTATACAACTCAGTCTCCCAGGATCAATTTTACGTGGAAATCTCCCCAGTAAATCTCGCCTAGGAACAGCAGGTTACCCTGCTCTCTAGCAGACTGCCCAGCGTAAAACAGATAAGCACTGGGGAGGCAGGGGCCCAAGCACTGAGACAACATTCACTGCTCTACATGCAGAGTTTGCAATCAGCTTGGGAAACAGCGATGTCGCAACACATGCGGTATCTGACAGCGCAATCCAGAGGAAGACAGCAAAAATGTACATGTATAGTTACGACTCTAAGAAGTTTCTTAAGTTATTGTAATTTAAGGGGAAAAAATATCAGGCTCAGTAACTCTCTCTGGCTATGTTGCTTCAGTTAATCCTGACTAGTTACGCAGAGGCTTGGGGAACTCCGGCAATGAAATCCCGCTCGCCTGCACTGAGTCGCCAAGAGAGGACAGAACCATGCATTTGATCAGCAAGTTGAGGAGATCAGCTGGACCAATATAAAAAGCAAAGGACGATTTCAGCACAATCAAAAGAAAGAAAGCCTCCAGCGCCAAATAAACCCAGTGATAGTTACATAAAGGGTGGAGATCAGAAAAAACACAACAGAGAGCTAACATGAAAGTGCACGTCAGGTGGAAAACGTGGCTAAGAAAGCCCACTGTGTCATAACCTAGCTAAATTAACAAGGCTTCATGGTCACTGGTGGAAAACCGGCAGTGACTTGTCCTGCAACCAATATTCAAACTGATACCTGCTGCCCTCAGTCCACTCTTGGGCTCTTAAATTTCTTATTTTGACCTCTAGCAAAAAGGAGCGACTGTTAAGTGGGAAATCTGAAGTTAAAAACGCACAAAGAAATGTGTTAAAAAAAAAAAAAAAGACATACTGAGCAGAACAGAGAGCAATGGAAAAACAGTCGCCTGACCCCACAGGATATAGTGCAAAGGGCTGAACTTCAGTATGAACTTCCTGTTGGCAAATGATCACCATCCTTTTAGGCATTTTGTCCTATCAGGAGGAGAGCTTTTGCAAAACTAACTTTAAACGAGGAGAAACGTATGGAAGATTTGTCTTCTTTAGAGGAGCAATCCAGCTGCCACATTTGACTTGGAAACTAACAGGATGTTTTAAGAGCTCTCCCCATTTAGATCTTCAACATTTTCCTCTCCTGCCCTCCTTAACCACACGCATGCATGAACTTCCCACGCTTCCTTACTATTCTTGCTCTTCTCCCCATCCTCCATGTCTTGTTTTTGACAATCTTACAGTTCTAACCCTTCCTGCCCAACTCCTGTGGGCTTTTTCACCATGGTTATCAAATTCTCAGTGCCTTACAACCACAAACAGCTTACTAATGCCTGTCGGATCAGTAGGTTTTGGTCACACTGCAGTGATTGTCTCCGTGTCTACTCTCAGATCATAGCACACTCTTCCCTGAGGGGAAGGTTACCTTAATTACCTTGCCACAGACCAGGAGATGGGCAGACGTACAGCTAGTTACTACAAAGCAGTGGCATCAGGCAAGCTATTTAGCATCAAAGCCATCCCCGATTATACCTGCAGTTAAATCTTGCCCAACATCATCTTGCCTCTGCATCCATTTGCAGACAACTGTCGTCGAGAGGACGGTTCCCTCACCCCCCAAGATAAGCAGGTCTTCCATATAGTAAGTTTTAGTTTGTTTTCTAGTGACTGATATGACAGAGGAGACAAGGCATTTTTGTACATATTCGGTAACAAGTTCCATTCACAGGTTCTCAGGCACCAATACAAAGATTCAGGGTGTGAACACCAGGAGCGACCTCAGGCCACAAGGCATGCTGGAAAAATCAAGTAACCTAACAAAAAACCCCAAACAAATGAGAAAATAGAGACAAACATTTATTATTCTTTGTTTCTAACCAGAAAAAAAGGAAAGTGAAGGAAACCCAGCAACTGTCTTCCAAACATTCACAACAAACACATAAAGTTGACCTATTTTGGAACTAGATAGGTCATATCTAAGTATATTTATTAACTCAGGAAAATAAACTAGCTTTTTTTTGGGGGGGGGGGTTACAATTCAATTTGTTCCACCCTTAAAAGTTTATTTTTCATTTCCTATTTGCTGAAGGTTACAGCCACGCAGCAGAGCCAGAACATGAACCGACCCACCTACCTCCTCCTGGTTGGCTCCTTGCTTTCATCTTTGAGAGAGGAGGACTGCCTTTTCTTGGGACGCCTCCTCTGCGACGGCGTTTTGGGCACTAACTCAGGTTCGGCCCCAAAGTTGCTGTTGGGCAGGCAAACGCAAGAAAGACAAGATGGCCTTCCCCTCCCTTGCTCCCCACCCGCCAACCAGGCCATCCGCAAAGTAACACACGCTCAAGGAGGCCAGCTGGGTGAGAAACAGGTGAACGAGGTGCAACAGCCACCAAGGTCCCAAACAGAGGCACACAACACACCAAACCACTTGGCAACACTACTTTCCTCACAGCAGGCCACCAGGGCACGTGGATTAAGCTTACAGGAGGAGAAAGGAAGCTGAAAGTGCTGAGAACAGGGAGCTTTTTTTTTTGGAGAGGGAAGAGAGGGCAGCCCCTACCTATCCAGCAGCCTCATGCC